CTGACGTCAGGATTTTTTAAAGTGATTTTTAGCTTCAAAGATATGATTTATTCCAAAAATTATTTAAAAATTTCAGTGCAATATAGAATGCATAGCTATGGTTAATTAAATTAATTTTAATTTTTCATAAGAGCGTATTAACATTATTGTAAAAAAAACGTTTGTTTGATGCTTTGGCGGCTTTGTTCGTCTTCTGTTGTACTAAAATGTTTATAAGTATGTATTTGCTTGTCAAGACAAATATATTAATGTACATTCATATGCATACTTATACACAAACGTAGATTTAATATTTAATCTTTTAGTATTCTCTTAGTATTGTCTCTTTTATACATACATAAGTACTTAAGTAAAAACTTGGAAAAAAGCGATTTTTCAACTTTATTTTTGCTTGTGTATGGCCTTTAATTTACGTAGCTCACATTTTGCCAGACATGCGTTTTTACTTGTTCTTTAATATTTAATAGCGCTTTCCTTGCATATGAGTATCTAGGTATATATTTTAGGGAACGCTTAATCTGCATGCATAATATAGAATACTTAATACAAATGAGAGCAAATGCATTAAAACCTTTGCCGTTGGGAGGCGGCATAAAAAATTAACGAGCTTGATAAGGAGAATATGTTCAGCCTAACAGATGGCTAAACTTCCAAAATGTGTTTTTGTATATCAACTGTACGAATTGATTAAACCTTGATTGCGTTTACCCACAAAAATTGAAATTTTGAAATAATTCTGTATATTATTAAACGTGCGACATGTAATTAAGAGAAAAGTAAAAAGTGAATGGAAATTGATGCTAAAATGCTTCTTATCAAAAAGATGACAATGCTATATTGTATATGAAGAAATTAAAATGAAAAGATTTTTTTGTGATACATGTAGTATTAAATAATGTTACTCATACGCCATGTACGATTATCCACGTGTTTGATGACATCTTATAGGAAATAACAACAATTTATAAAGCGAAAACGACAAATTGCAGCGCAGTACTTCCCACCGCAATTATGTAGAGCATTTCTTCCTCTATACGGTAGTATTTTTATGTTTTTGATTAATGCATGGATTTGACTTAGAATTTTCAACCCAAATGGTCCTTTAATGATCTACGAAAAGAAAAGCCGCGCAAACTGGCGGTAAAAAGAGCGGCGGATTAAGAGGGCAATGCGGACAACTGTCTTTCAACTCACCAAAGTCTTTCGAAAGACAAAAGACGACTAATTGAATGAACTGCTAACGAGCAGGTCTTGGCGTAATGCTGTTAGCCATTTAGCAATAAGTTTTTTAAAAATGAAATTAAATTAAAGAACCTAAGTATGTATGTATATATTTTTCTTTTTAAAACAGTAAAAAGTAATAAATAAAAGAAAATTAAATTAAAAGAGAAAATAAAGCAAAAAAAAAAATATTTTTGTAAATTATGTGAATGAAATTAAAATAAAGTTTCTTATTTAAAACAATAATATCTAAAAATTTACATAGTGTTTAGAGTTTGAGTGTGTTAGAGGGAGCGCAGAGTGCGCTGGAGAAATTTAAAAGGTCAAACACCGAGGATTTTAGTTAATATTATAACTAAGTTCATATGATTTATTAGGATTTTCACTTCGATATACACAGAATGAGATATGCATAATTTAATTCAAATTTATTTTTAATATATACTCTTTTTTTTATTTGTAATTTAAACTAAGAAAAAGCAACAACAGTTTACGTGGCGAACTTAGCTCAGTGGGTAGACCATTGACTTTGTAATCCGAGAGCATATCCCAGTGACGGCGGTTGAAAATCAGACTTCAGGAGGAGATGTGTTCCGAAATAGCAGCTATAACTTCTACCAAAATGTAAATTATTGTGGTTTTTCCACAAAAATTTTTATTAATAACGCCCTCAGTCTCAATAAAATTGTTGAATATGTTCTCTTTATTAAAAAAAAAAAATCGTTTCTTTTACTAAGCAAAACTGCAAGAAAGTCACAAAAACGGCAATTTTCAATATTTGCTTATTTTTAAGAGAAAACGACAGTTGTTAAATGAAAAAGTTTAAATATAATATAGAGTTGAAGTTCAGTGAGTATTAAAACCTAGTCGGTTTAATTTTTGGGAAAATTTAAATTATTCTAAAGAAATTTGCAGCTTCTTTCATAGCTGTCAAAATTTCAATTTCGTGATCAGCGTTATTCGAAACTTAAAAAGTGCCATTTTTAAAAAGATTTTCTTAGTTTTAGAAAAACTGACAGTCGCATTGTCAGCTGTTAACTGTCAAACTTTTAATGTGACATAAACATCGTGGTCAGCGTAACTAAAAGCCTAACCAGTGGCATTTGTTTTTTTATTATTAAAAATTTTTTCGGTCTATTGACAACTGCTAACTGTCAAAAGTTTTGGTGTGATATACAATTCATGATTAGTGTGTCTAAAAACCTAATCAGAGGCATTAAAAAAAGAAATCATTATTTTTTGAGAGATTGACATTTGATTTGACAGCTGTCAAGTGTCAAACTGATTCAGATTCAGTATGATTCTACGGTTTTATTGAAATCGTTACGGTCCTTCTAATTTTTCGAGTAAAACATGGCCCCTCCGACCATTGTGGGCCATTCGTTTTTTTCGTCCAAAAATGCCAAGTTGACTACACTACAATGCATGAAATAGGACCACATACATACTATCAGCAAAGAGCTTAAAAACGAATAAAGATCGAAAAAAGAAATGTTAATAAAAAAAGACAAAATAGTGGTCACAACAATCTATTCATTTGATGAACATTAATTAAAGCGCTAGAAAATTTATTTAATCCGAAAAGGCGCCAAATAAATTACAATTTGGAGAAAATTTTATAACAATTGGAAGACAAAATAAGCTTGATTTAAATTTTAAAACAATGTTATCCTGCAGACACACCAACACACGGCGGCGCCATTATTTCGGAATAAACTTTCAGCTAAGAACAAATTCCTCCAAAATGCCAATACATAGCAAATTACCTTTCGCTTGAGTAATGCAGTTGCGCAGATATGTAATTACACTTAATTATTAGAAGATTAGCCATTAACACGAACAGACACATACCTAAATAGTATAGCACGCCACACACACATAAATAAACACGCTTTCTCAAAGGCACTTGCTTTGCGCCAGTTCAGCTTCATCGATAATAAAATGGTGGGCACACAACCAACGCCTCTGCCTAATGTCAGCCCAACCAATACAAAACAATAATAGCAAAGCAACAAGAGTAAGCTATATAAAATGGCATACAAAGGAACGCACAACGGCAAATTGTTGCATTTAATTGGCAAACATACAGACAGTGTGAACGTTACGAGGGCGGGGCGGGGCGCACGCATGGAGTTGATGGCAGGAATATTTGCGGACGAAAAGGCAACTGTAGTTGTGCAAATGCTCAACTTACTCACTTACTTACTTGTACTGTCTTTTACCACAATAACTGAGGTAACACGATGGGTGGTAATCAATTCTGTAAGCACACAACGAAGGCAATAACTTTTTTATGGCACTGCGTAAAATAATTTACGGAGAAATAACGACTTTGGCACAGTGACAACGGCAAAAGTTGAACTTGAGCAAAATTGAAATTGCAATGCAAAGTCAAAGGTAAACTGTGCGCTAAATGTGTATTTACATACGTATGAGTATGCCGGGTGGGTGCCTATGGCTCGCCGCTTACTATTTGCCGAAGCGTAACTGTAAGTAAAAGTCTGTATGTACTATCACATTATGTAGAGAGTATGCATAAAAATAAGAAAATGTCCTTTAAAGCATACTAAAGTTGGAAGATAAAGTTGTTAAGCAATAGACATGAAGTGTACGTGAGTGGAGTTATTTAACAAATGAATATAAGTGTAGTAAAAAGCTGTTTCGTGCTGCTGTAAAGCGAAATTATACTAAAATATGTCAAAGGAAACGCTTACTTAAGGAAGTTTATGAGTATAATTATGTAGGGTTATTGTGTAGATTAAAATGTTTATAGCTAGCCTACAGGTGTCTGAAGACTAAGCATAAAAGAGATGAGAAAGTAAGCTTGTTGGTTGGTTGGTGAGTTGAATTGGGGCGAGTATAAATATGTACTCCAATTAGCACTAAAACGAAAACAAATATCTTATTAGAAAATTTATTATGGTTGTTGTGATAAGTGAAGTACTGGAGTAGCACTGTCTCAAGCGTCTTCACTATTGGGGAAAGCATTATCTTTGTTGGCTTATTTCCCCGGTTTTAGTAGTAGGACCACCCTCCCCGATTTCCACATGTGCATCTGGTATTATGAGGGTAGCCAACGAGAGTGTTTTCAGTCTCATCTTGCATATTTCGTTGCGAGAAATGGAGCTTTGCAGGTTTTTGCCTTCCCGATGGCCACCTCGATTTTTTTTTTGTTAGCTTTTGCAGCCTTCTGTTCACTCGATATTCGACCTTGGCCACCGAAGAATGCGGTGTAAATTGCCGGCTAAAATAAGCGCGCGTATCGAATAAAATTTTCATTCTCTCATCTCGCTTCGTCGGATTGGACAAGGATCTGGATCTCTCGATTGACCAGAGCTTACTCAAACCAGAGGCGAATGTGCAGGTCTTTATCTGTTGCTAAATCTAAAACTTAAGGTCCCTCATGTGGAGATCGCCGGGATCAAACTGGCGCAGGTGGTCGAGCACCTTTACGAGAACAGCCGGAAAGTTTGGGGACTTGCGTAATGTGACGGGATGGTAAGCAGCTATGAGTACTTTCCAGAACTGACGAGGCCAACCGACAGTGATGCTGAAGGAGAATGTTATTGATTGCACATGGAATCTTCTCCCGCGTAATAACTTCGTTACTACTTCCGCTGAGTAGAAGCTGCGTGGTACGTCCGATACTCATCCACCACGCAAGAAAGCGAATTTCGTTTTCACATGAATGTCCAACAGTAACAAGATCCTTATAATTTGTAGTAAAATAATACAACCATTTATTTATGTACACAGGTATGTATGTATAAAAGTAACATTAAATATTTTCAATTAAAAAACAAAATAAGCAATAATGTGTCTCCTACATTACAATCTTAAACGCCTGATCGCGCGGTAATGATATCCATCATCGGCCAATACGGCGCTTTCCTCCGGCCCTACAGCCTCAGTTTGTTCCTGCTCTAACGGCGGCAGATACTCGTTTTCGACAGACTTTGGTAATGGCATCTCTTCGACAGGTTGCTTATAATGATAGCCATCCTGCAACAGCACACCGCTGTCTTGCGGTCCTTCCTCTTCTCCATGTGTACGCACATCCGGCTGAGCTGGCTCTTCGTCCTCTGGCAGCGCTGGTGGTTCAGTTTCCACTTCATCTTCCACAACAATTGGCGCTACTGTGCTCACTTCCTCAGCGTCAGTGGGTGGCAAGTAGATTGGCGCTTCTTTAAGCAGGGCAGCATTTACTACATCAGAGTCATCAGCTGCTACGCCGCCATTAGGCGGTAGATAAGCCTGATTGGGTGGCAGATAAGTAGCCGATAAGTGTGAGACGTCACGGCGCACGCGTTGGCGGTATTTTAAGCGGCGTACAGCGCGGTATTGGTAGCCCTCGGCGCCGCGGACTGCGCTTACAGGCGCAGCTTCAGGTTCAGCGGCAGCATCAACGACATCGGTGTCGGCGGAAGCGGGCGCTTCAGTTTCAACAGCGATAGAATCGGCTGTGTTTGCTTCAGCGCCTACGGGTAGCGACTGCTTCGGGTGGCCAGGTGGCAGATAGTTGTATGGCACTAACTCGGAGACGTCGCGTTGTAGACGTTGATGTGGCAGTGCTGCTGCTAAAGTAGTGACTGTGGCCAACAGCAGGCAAGGTACTAGCGTGAGTTTCTGCAGGGAAAAGAGGTTGTAAGATAGAAATTAGTTTTAAAGAAAATTGTTGATAACGGGTGGTCGATGGAACTTATGCATCGAAAGGGCGAACATTTTTCCAAGTTTAAGTCACCCTAATGCATAATATATGTATGTAAGTTTCAATATTTTTTTTATTTCTTTAGTTTATTTTATTTAATTTCTTTATTTTATTTTAATTTTATTTAGATTTTATATTATTTCAGACTAAAATTTGTAGTCTCGACTAAATTTGATGCTTTGGCTAAAACCGAGACCGAAATCGAAAGGTACAGTGCATTCTAGAAAACAAATCTCTTATCCAAAAGGGCGTTGAAAACAAATGTACGCCATTTTGTGGCGGTGGCCATCTTGGATTTGCAGTAATAATGAAAACACTACATTCCATATTGCTTTGTAAAGGTGTGTACCGAATTTCAGATCAATAGGTCAATAGGAAGGGGAGAAAGTTTCAATTACTAGATATGACCCAGACAAGGGTTGAAAGGACCCACACGGGTAAGAAATATTGGGTTAACATTTTCCAAAATAATATGCGCCATTAAATTTTGCTATAACCACTTAAAGACACAGTTAATGGTAAATGTGGTTTCATACTAGACTTTTTCTAAAATTAAAAAAAATTCAACACACTGTAATCAAAAATTGTTATCTTAGGGCCGTTTTCATCATCTCTGGTTAACACTAATCGTCAGTTAAACATCGTTACCTTCATCATGCATGGAGCCAGATGCATATTACATTGTGTGGGTAACGTCGGCAACGATGTTTAACTGGCGATTAGTGTTAACCAGAGTTGGTGAAAACGACCCTTAGAGATAAAATATCCAATGTTCTAGATCTCCTCCTCTTTCGTAATTGCTACAAGGCATTCGTGTTTTTTTTCATCTCATTTTGTTGCACAGACGCTAAACCGAACCTATACGTTCGGTCAGTCACTATATAGTTATCACTGTATATTTAATCAACAATGTGTCTGAAATCTTTTCAGTATTTTGTAATTATTATTTATAACGAATTCATTATTATTAAATATTTTTATAACTTATTCATTTGAAATTTTTTTTTACACAACACTTTTATCAATATTTTCGATATATTTTACGCACCATTTTTTAAATTTGAATATTTTATCTTAACTTATCTGCGCAACCAATAAATTGCAAATGATGGCTTTTCGAGCAAATTCAAGCTTTTTTATACTCAAATTATTACCACAATTAACCCTTCAATTCCCATCGCTGTGTTCAAAAAAAAAAAAAAAACAAAAACGTAAACAACTCATAGTTAACTGAAAACGCAGCGAAAAAAGGAAGAATCCATCAAAATTTTTAAAACTCCAATTCATTGAATTGTAGCAAACGCCAATCCACCAACAATACAATCTACAATAGTCTAACCCATTCCACGCTACTAGTAAGTACTTTGGCAAGTCTGAAGTCCCACTTCTGTGGCACTTGAGCCGCAATCGAAACTAAAGCATTTTGGTCGCATTTGTTTTTTACCTGCTGCATAATTTAACTATTTAAAATATTGTAAACTTTTAGCGTGGAATCGAACATTTAACTCTTAAGCAGCCCCAGGTGATTTAGGCACACATATGACGACATATGTATGTATAAACGTACTGTCAATTATATGAAACACACGTGCGTAATAAATACATATAGGTTAGGGTCGTCCTAAGTAATATGGAAAATTTTAAAGCTGTTTCGATTTTAGAATTTCGGGCACGTTTTGGTTTGATTGCATCAAGAACATTTTGGAAACATTTTTTCGGACGCCTTTCTTGCCAGCAACTCATACTCTTCGTACTGATGTATTTCTTTCTCTCTCTTCGTTTTTCTTATGATAAGTTTTTCATCCATATTCAACTCTCCATAACCCCTTTCGCACAGCTCGCATAGCACTCTATCGTAGTATGGCCCTCTCGAGTCGTCTTTTACATGACCGCTCTTTTAGATGATCTCACGAGGATACCAATCAGTCGCTCAGAAACCCGTTTTCTATTAAGGGATCGAATATTTCAGGTCATCATCAAAAGAGGATGGCTCTGATTTGAGGTTTGTTTTATCTTTTTTTAATTGAAAGGCGTTTCTTTTTCTTTGTGTAAAAATCCACGTCTTCATTTAAGTATTTTAGTATTAGTCTACTCAAGGTCATACATTCATACAGAATGCTCCGGAAGACACTTGTTTGCAAACCAAACCATCTCCGTGGTCAGGTCAATCGGGTACATGCGCCAATGATTACAGGCGGTTTGGTAGCCTGTGAGCAACCGTTTGAGCTAATCCACTCCTAATGTGTTAGTCTCGAAGAAGACTAACTGACGCTACAGCTTTTCATCGCCAGTTAGTCGGTTATTTCGTTCCCTTCGATTACGCAATGACCTGACAACCAGAAAAGTCTTACCGTATTTCTCGCTGCTAAAGGTTGAAGAGTGTCAAACCACTACTTGACGAGATTGGGTGTTCGCATGCCATTAGATGAGATAAAATTTTAACTCAGCGAGTTTATGAATTTATATGAAGAAATTTCAATAATATGTGAAATTTATCAGGTTTGAAGCCAAAATTTTGTAACACTTTTTTGCGATTAAAAAAACTAAAAATTTTTTAAACCCTGAAAGCGTCCCCAAAAAAAATTACTTCAAGCTTTAAAATTTTTTTTGTGGATGTCTTTATTTTGTACATATAACAAAATAAAGACCACCCTAATGTACTATACATACATACATAAGTATGCACTAGTATCGTTTGGAGTTAATCTTTATCACGCATGTTTATCGTTGCAATGTCAAGTGCGCCACTTCATCCAAAGTCAAATAAATCACTTCGTTCTTCAACTATGTAGGTATGTTTGCATTATGCTAAGAAGGTCGTTTTTTTTAAAGCTAAGCTGCATGCATTAGGGTCTGAATTGTATGTAGGTATGTGAGCTCGCCCATTGCAAACTTTTAAGTTGACTTACATACTTATACATATGTATGGTTGCGTATGTATGCATACATATAAATAGATATGTATGTATATACATAAATATGTATGCTAACATCTATGTACATATGTACATATGTAATCGCCAAATTGCAACTTTTTGCAGCGGAAGTACATCAATTCAGAAATAGCATTAATATATTTATTTGTAGGCATATCGAATAAAACCGCTGATTGTATCTATGTACAGAGCTTTATGTAGTGTTTTTGCAAAAAATTTAATTACAAATCACCCACGCACATTTGGTTGCCAAAATGTTTATGGTGCGATTTCCACCACAAACGAAATGAATACGATATTAGTGAATATATTCGGTGGTTAATTTTGTGGCGCCGGAATATCAAATATCATTAAATATGAAAAAGATAGTATTGATGCTAAATTTCTAATGCAAGTATGTGTATGCATTTGGAAGTAGTAGTGATTAGTTATGTTAAAAAAAACTAATTGATGATAAGTGCAGACTTGTTTATTGAGTTAATAAAAAAAACAATGAAAGAAGCTGCAAGTGCTGATAGTAGGGCTGGGACTATCCGCATATTGGAATATCCGGATACCCAGGCGGATTATCCGTTGGCATGGATAAAATTCGTATAGTATGGATATCCGGTTAATATTCGTTTGTGCAATTATTCGGATATCCGGATTTATGAAGAACCGGTTAATATTCGTATTTTCGGATATCCAAAAAAATCAAGAAACTTTGGTAAAGCGTTCACTATGAACAAAAAGTATCGTAGCAGCTTTCATTACTCAGTCCATGATATTTTAAAGCCATGAAGAAACTCTCGCGGTCCATTTTATATCTTTTTTTATTTTTACGAAACGATATTTTCATTTCACGGTACCAGGCGCTCATAAATATGAAGTAGAAAGTTTTCAATATGCATAAATTTGTTTGTAGAACTTTTTAATTCGTTTCTAGGACGACAAAAATGTTTACTATTTGACAGATGTCAATGAATTTTGATATTTAGGGATTTTCATCATCACTAATTTCGAATATTAAATTATATTTCCAAAATTCACAATGGCGGATCCAATATGGCGGACGATTTCCTCAAAAATATATAGATTGTTATGAAGCTTGGTATCCAGAGATTTTCGTCGTCACTGATTTCGAAATTGATATTTAGTTTTAAAAAATTCAAAATGGCGGATCAAATATGGCGTCCCGAACATTGCACTTAAAGGTAAAGGTGGGTATATCGATCATCACATATTGCTTGTGCAAAGTTCAACTATTTCACAAATGGCATTGGTAGTGATTTTTGAACTTTTATTCAAATGTCTGCAATTAAAATTTGGACACTTAAACGAAAGTCGGACATTTTAAGGTAGAAACGGGACACCGGCACAAATAGTCTAAAACGGGGACATGTCCAGGAAAACCGGGACGTCTGCCAGCCCTAGTTTATAGGAATTGAACTTCTAATTTCCGAAAGAAAGTGTTAAGCGTAAAGTATGCCTAAAAATTGTAAAACATATAAAATATGTCACTCTAAACGTACAAATGCACATACTGATACCTAAGGATAACAAATCCTTGACAAATATTCATGTTAGCACACAAATCTGCATATGTGTAAATTTGTGGTTGAGCAATCACAAATTTCATGAAAATTTATAAAGTTGATTGAATCTAAATATTTACATACGAGTAGTATGAGAGTGCGTGCCAGGCATTAATAGATATGTCAACTAATGCTCGGCCAATTTGTGTGGTTATAAATTCCGTTAGAACGATTATGTGGAAATATAGTACATATGCACATACATACATGTATTTAAATATTTGAATAGCAAAAATATTCTTTTTAAGCTTGTGTTGTCAACTGTTTAGTGTTATTCGTATATATGTACATATGAAGGTACGTTAGTAGATATCTGCATATTTATATACACATACATACATATGTATGTATGTACTTATGTAAGAATATCTAACAAAAATTTTTGCTGCTATAACGCAATTTCTGTCA